TTATATACAGTATATTTGAATATTTAAATATATACTGTATATAATACATACATACATTCTAATTTGAGACTAGAAATAAAGACCAGCATAATATTACATCTAAAAGCAAAACAACTGTTTATCTGCCTGTAACTCAAGTTTTGTTCTTTAGTTTTTCTGTCCTCACATCTTCCACCAGCTACTATGGTTGAAAGTGTCCAGAGAATTTAAAGATCTGTTTTTTTTTGTTTTTTTTTGTGAATTAAATAATTTATAATGTTGATGTGTGTGACTGCCTTTAGCGTGCCCAGCTCCGCACACATTTAGTCTTTGTCCTCATCGCTTCTCAATGACTGCACATCTTTCTGCCGTGTCTTTTTAATGAAAAATTATCTACTGTGTTTGTAACGTGATTCAACTTTTGATGAAGCCACGGTTCAAAAAAACAATATTAAAAAGCTGAAACACAAAGACACAGGTAACAGAGTTTACTGGACGTTTATCATCATGGTTAGCTTCTGTTCCGTTCTTGTGGGAACTATCTGTAGTGATGACTCAAAACGCCACAGAAAACCACTTTAGCACCCTGCACTGTCCCTTTAATTACCCTGCACACGCACGTATGCCTTGTGTATGTGTGGTGTCTCTTCAGACTCAAACGAATGCCTGTCAGAGCCCTGCATGAACGAGGGGACATGTGAGGACCAGCCCGGCTCCTACCTGTGTCACTGCCCACAAGGCTTCAAAGGACAGAACTGTGAAATAGGTACAGTTTCATGTTTTCTGCCTCTCCTGTGACAATATTTGCACATTTTAACCCCTAATCTGTGAAGGACAACCCATCCTACTGATGTAAATGTGTGTGTGCAGAGCAGGACGGTTGTGACTCCAGTCCATGTCTGAATGGAGGTGTGTGTCGAGGCTACAGACAGTATTTCATGTGCGTGTGCAAAGACGGCTTCTTTGGGGAGCAGTGCCAGATGTGTAAGTCAGTTTACTCTCTTACAAGTCAGTTTTGTTGTTTATAGTTTGTTCACACAGTGACTTGTTATAATCATGTTTTGAATAAAGAATACGACCCCCTCATTAAATTTAAAACAATTAGTTCTAAAATATCCTCCCAAGCTTGTTCCTTTGTACCAGTAAACAACGTGTGTCCATCTGAAGGCCTGCAGGCCAAAAGTGTCCTGCCACTGAAAAAAAGATTTTTGTGTGTGGTAACATTTATTTAATTATTCTTTAAAATTTTTACAAAAAAAAAATCAAAATTTCTGAACTACTAGAATTTACTAAATAAACAATATGCATTATATTATATATCAATAGTACT